CGTGGGGCTGCGGGAGGGCCCCGGGAACCGCTCGGTCCTGGCGCTGGCGCCGTTCTAGGCGGAGGCTCCGCGGTGCGGGCTCGCAGCCCTGAGGTCAGGGCGTGACTTTGTCAGGCCGTCCCGAGCGATACGCGCTGCTCTAGTGAGCAAAACTCAGTCTCTGGGTGAACAACCTTGCCCTTGCGCCTGTCGGACCTTCTCCCTCCTTCGTTACTCTCCAGTTTCCTTCCTAGTTCTTCCTGCGCTGTTGGTTCCTTGTCATCAGCTTACCCCTGTTTCTGACAAGGCAATTAGCAGCGGCCCTGGCTCCTTCAGGGTCACCGTTTGTTCCTTCTAGCTTGATCTTTCCCTTTCAGTGCTTAGCTTCTGTTCTTCTGCTGGAAAAATAGAACAAAAAGGCAGAAGGTTATTTTTTTCCCCATTATCCTTATGTACACCTTGACCTGAGTTTTGCCATTCCTGGTATCTTACATTTTCTGGATATGGTTTTCTTTCTTGAACTCTGTTTTCCCTTTATCCTGACTTTTTATTTTCATATCTTTTTGAACTAGTTATTGATTCTGTTGCACTTGGAACCTTCTCTACTATTTTCCTCATTTTGGACTGTGATTTATACATGGTAATAGCAACTTCAATGTAAGAAACTTCAGGGTCTGTTGTTTTGCTTTCTAATTGCAGAGTTCCTCAATCCAAAAGACTATTAGCTCATTTCCATTTTTCCAGATTTTCCCCATTTGTGGCCCAAAACCCTAGATATGAACCTATTTTTATTTATCTATCTAATTAATTTAAATTAAAGAAATCAATTTGTGATGCTTCAGTATACAGTTACTGTCTACTGCTGGTTCTTCATGATCCCACCATCATGGAATTTAATTACTAACAGATATTTATTTTGTATTTTTAGGCATTTGATTACTACCCATCTTGGAAGGGACAGCAACAGATGTATAAGCTAGACATAGGCTGGCCTAAAACCCCAGAATACTTCACTGGCCAAACGTTTTGTGTTGCTGTTGACTCTCTGAATGGTTTGGTCTATGTGGGACAAGTGAGTGAGAATACTGTATTTATTTTCCTCCTTGTTGTTCCAGTGTGTTTTTGCCTTTAAAATGCCTAGTTTAGGTTAGGATATATGCATATGTGTGTGTGTCTCTCTCTATATGAATAATTATTGTATCAAAATTAGTGAAAATATAATGTGGATGTCTCTGCTGTACTGTCATTCTGTCACTGGTGTATTTTTTGGGTTTCTAAAAGCATTAAATTTCTCTGGAATGAATGTGTGATCCAACTTAACTGAGCTTGCAAGGTAAAATGTGATCCTGGGGCAACTGAATCTCTCATTCTTTTACTCTCTGTCCCATGACAACAAAACCACGCAGCTTTTTCAGCCAGTTACAGTAATTGGAGTTTAATTATTTCCTTGTTCCATTCATTTGCATCCCTGGGTCACAGATAAGACATTCCCTCCACGGAAGGTGGTGGGATTTAATTGCCAAGCACAGTGTGAGTACTTGAGTGCCATGCAGCTAACAAGTACAGTTACAGGTGTTCATGCCTTTGTTACACGTGGCATATTTTTCAGCAAGAACATAAAAATATGATTCAGAATGAAGACTAAGATACCTTCAGGAGCTTGGCTGCTCTGAAAATTGGGCTCTGTGTGGTTTAAGTTGAAACTCCAGGAGTGGAAGGTTTTCATGCTAAATTTAAACCCTTCTCTCTCTTCTCTGGCTGGAAAAATTGAGACCTAGGGGACAATCTCAGGACATCCTTATGATTCATGACATGTTGCAAACACCTGACAGAGAGGATTATTCAAAAATATGATCCACTTGGTTGCTGTTTTCTTAACAAACTCTTGTTCCTTATGATTCATGACATGTTGCAAAAACCTGACAGAGTTATTCAAAAATATGATCACTTGCTTGCTGTTTTCTTAACAGACTCTTGTTTTTGCCTCTTCAGAGGGGAGATAATGTGCCCAAGGTGCTGGTGTTCTCAGAGGAAGGCTATTTTCTTCACTCGTGGAATAACACAGTTGAAATGCCTCATGGTATCTTTGTACTGAACACTGCCACAGACAGCTCAGTGTGGATCACAGACGTTGGAACAGGTATGCAGAGAAGTTCTAAGTGGGGAAGCAGATGCTGATACTGCCAATTTTTAAACAACTTACTGAAGTCTCTCAATTCTGAGACAGTTTTGTGCTTTTCTCACGGTGAAAATCCTTCTCAGGTGCTGCACAAAACACTCTGAAGGTTCATGAGCTGTGCTGTGTGTCTGCTCATAGCTTCTGGACTTTGTAAACACATCCCTGCCCTCAGGAGCAGTATGAGGAAGTAAAAAATCTTCTAGCTAGACTTGTCTGTCCTGGGTTAGTCACCTTAACACAATGAATATTGTTGTAGCCTGTGGATTTATTAACCCACAGTCATGTTCTTACTGTAGAATTTTGTCTTACTTTTTTAATATCACTTGTGAGTATCAAGAGATTTTATGTTTATATATTTCTCATTAATTGTAGCACTTAACATTTTTGTTTTTAAGATGGTTTTGCCCTCTTTTTTTATAATTCAGGGAAATATGGGCACACAGTGAAGCAGTACAGCCCTTGGGGGAAACTGCTGCAGACCCTGGGCACGCCAGGCAACGCTGGTTCCAGTTTGATTCCCCTACAGTTTGATCAGCCAGCAGAGATCTTTGTAGAAGAAAGTGGAGATATGTATGTTGTGGATGGAGATGGGGGAATGAACAACAGATTGCTCAAACTATCCAATGGTATGGAAAGATGAACTCCTGCAGGAGCTGACCACTGAGAAGGTTAAGTGAGGACTAGAGCGAGCTGTCGTTTAACATTAGTTTGAAGACTTGGTTGAATCAGGTCCTGTTTTACTGCTTGTCACTTCAGGACAAGTCCCCTGATTGTTCATGAGAAGAGGCTGAGAGGATGGGTTTGTTCAGCCTTCAAGAGAGAAAGCTAAGGGGGATTCTTACTGCTGACTTCAAGTCAGTAATGGGAGGGTGTAGAGAAGACAGAACCACGCATTTCTTGGAGATGCACAGTGAATAATGAGGATCATTGAGCAAAAGATGCAAGAAGGGTGAATTCCTGACCAATTTTTTGAGGAAAAGATTCACAGTGAGCATGATCAGACACTGAATAGTTTGTCCAGAGATGATGTGCAGTCTCCAGTCCTGGAGATGCTCAGAACATGATGAGTTATGAGCAACCTGATCTAACTTCAGAGTTGGATTTCTGATCCTGCTTTGAGAAGCGGGTTGGACCAGATGGTATCTGAAGATCTCTTATAAATTGTTTTGTGTTTCTAATTAGCTATTGCCAAATTAGATTATCAGTGTTCATTAGGGTGGTGAGCAAGGAGTCTATGCATGCCTACAGCTGGGAAAAAGTTTCTGTTACCTTTAGATGTACGTGGAGTTCCTCTCTACCATCTCTCCTTTGGACTAGCCTGAAACACTTTATTAACATCTAGTTTGCAAAATGGTAAATGGTTAAAACTGACTCAAAAGTGCCAGGTAACAAATGTAAAAAATCAGTTTAGTAAGTAAATGAAGATCATGGACAGATCATGGTCAGACAGACCTGCTTTGTTTAGCAGAGCCTGAGACTATGTCTCTTGTGTACTGGTGGCTACATTTCTGTAAGGATGCTCCCAAAGCCACCAGTAACAATCCATTAGCCACTGGAGCAGTTCCAGTATTTCTTGGGTTTCTGTATGGGGAGTCCTGTGTTTAAGAAGTCTGAGTTTAAAAATCTCACCTTTTAAAAATGACTTAAAGTAACTTTGCAAGGTCATGACTTAAAGCTGGTTTATTTGTCGTTTCCTGACTGTGATTCTTTTCCTTTTCTTTTCTTTCTCCTGGTGCTCCCTGTTCAGATTACAAAGAGATCTGGCTGGCAGGAATGAATGGGACTGGCACTGGCCAGTTCAGGATCCCCCACAGTGTGACAGTGGATTCTTTTGGACGGGTAAGCAATAAAGGGACAAATTGGGGCTTTTTCCATCTTCCAGCAGACCTCTTTACACATATTTGAGCAAACCAAATTGTATTTCTTTTTTAACTGAGCTCTTGTGAGCTGGGTTGTTTTATGTATCTGCCCAAGCACTTTGGTTTCTCCAGGGGACTTGTTTCCATCTGGAATATTCCAAATAAGCTTAAGATGATAGAAGGCTCTGGCTAGGTTGTGCACACCAGTCCTTCTCTCCATGCAGCTCCAAAAGCCCACTGCCAAGCATTAATTTGGGTTTGACTTTTGCTCTGCTGCTCTTGTAGAGGAATTACATGGTTGCTCATTAGTCTTGTTTCAGGGAAAAGAAGATTGCTTGGCCAAAACTTCTTAAATCACTAGTTTGAGTTAATTCTGCTGATGCTGTCTGAACTGGAGTAAGAACTGTATATAAAAATGACTTCTCTGCCCAAACTGGCAGGGTGAGAGGGGGAAGGGGAGGGCCGTGGTCACTTTGTGTGGAAGAGTAGCCATGGATGTGTATATTCAAAGACAGCAACTGTGATGGGCTACAGTTTAATTGCCAACATAGTGTTGATACTCAGCCTGGGTTAAAAATAATTGTGAATTCCTAAGAAATCTAAGAGAATGCTGTAGTAGTTTCACTTAGAAATAGTGATGCAAAAGATCTCAGATCAACTTGCTTACTGCTCCCTTGTGGGTGATATCCCAGAAAAGTCATGAAGTTTACTTCTCAGACTGATGAGCTGTCCACAGCTAAAACTTCAATAATTGTAGTATGAGAGTTGCCTTTGCTGGAACTCTCCAGTGATGTTGCTTCTTTGTGAACTCAGTTAGCACAGGATGGGACAGAGACAAGGTCCACAAAACTGATTGGCCAAAACCTGCTGAAAATGCTCTTAAAGTTGCTCAATATTTATAGAAGCATTAGAAGAGCTTCTAATTAGAAGCAAGAGCATTTGCAGATGCAGTCTCTTGAGAAACAAATTGTTAGCTGGTGACAGACCAGTGTCTTTAGAATTAAATAGGTGTGAATATGTTCTCACTGGGAGGAGGAGATCCTACTAAATACATCCATATCACAGCCACAGAAATGAAAAGAAGGCACTGATTTCTCTGCTGAAGGAGTATAAAATAATTCATGTATGTTAACTATGTGGTGGGTTTTTTTTATATCTGAAAGTCACACCTACTTACATAGTTTTGGGTGGGCAGGTGCATTCTTCCAAGGTGGATTTCTTTTTTACTACAGGTTACTTTGCTTGTGTGAGAAATCAATGCATTGAATTTGTTCTATTTGTGAACAGTTTTGGGGTTTTTTAACAGGTATGGGTTGCTGACAGAGACAACAAAAGAATCCAAGTTTTTGATAAAGTCACTGGGGAGTGGCTTGGGTCTTGGAGTAGCTGTTTTTCAGAAGATGGACCCTATTCTGTCAGGTATTGTTGAACAGTCCTTCTAGGGGCATGCAATTACATAAATAAGGTGTCCTTTTACTGGTGAATTAAAATGTTTGGTATTTAGTGCTTGATGACAAGCAGTAAACTATTTGAACTGGTAGGTGCTAAGCCCTAATCACATGCAAAGATCTGTACAGTTGTATCTTCACATGGAAATCCTGGCTTTATAACATGCCCCATGGAGGGCAGTATTGGGAACTTCATTTAAAGCTGCTGTTCATTGTTGAGAGAGATTGTCTGGAGTGAATTTCCTGTAGCCAAACTGTCGTGAGGAGCAGCAACATAGAGAGCAAGGCTACAAGTTAATTCTCAATGTTTCATTGCATTTAGTCTGTCATACCCTTCAAAAACTCGACTTAAGGAGGTTTTGTTTGTTTAAAAGTGCACAATTGTGCTAAAATGAGGTCAAAAATATGTTTCTGTCTTTCCCAGATTCACTCCTGATTACAAGTACCTGATTGTAGCTCAGCTGAACATCAACCGGTTAGCGATCCTGGTGGCACCGCCCGTGGGCTCCATCAGGGACTGTGTCCTGGTCAGCACCATCCAGCTGGCAGATGAGACCAAACCACACCTTGTGGATGTAGACATGAAGAGTGGAGCAGTCTATGTCGCAGAGATTGGAGCCCAGCAAGTACAAAAATACATACCCTTAAGCTGATGGTTTCCCACGACTGCCGTGGCACGAGCCGTGCGACATACAAGACCTCTGACCGCCTTCCCTTGAGTATTCTGTAGCTTCTGTTTCCTTGGGCAAGCACAGAACGATGTGCTTCCAGAACTCCAGCACTAAGAACCTGTCCCAGCTGTTCTGCAGTCCTGGTGGGGTGCTTGGTCCTGAGCTGTGTCAGGGTTCAACCCCAGCTGGGAGCTGAGCACCGCGCAGCCGCTCGCTCGCCAACAGCAGAGTGGGGAGAGAGCAAAGGAACAAAAACTTAAAGCTTGTGGGTTGAGATAAAGACA